AAAAAAAAATATCAGCCAGTGTAAACCCTCTGGAGGACAGTTCTACTTTGATAAAGAAGAAGTCACCATGAGTGGGAACTGAGGTGATAACAACTGGTTAACAAACAGAGGCCAGTGACCCCAAGGGCAGAAGACAGAAAACCCAACAACAGGTGGGATCCTTGCCTTTGCCCTTTGCTGCTTCAGGCTGTCTGCGGGAGGTGAATATTGGTGAGTGTGCCCCGGCAGCGGAGTGTTTTTGAGTAACAGGAGACAGCACAGGCATGGAGCAATGCTGCAGGTCCCAAACAGTTTTTCCCCCATCTATTAAAATAAAATAGCCAACCCAGGAACTGCCTGAAGCTAGCAGATACCTCACAGTTGCTGGCCGTTAATGTCACTCAGCCTTCTGGTCTTTGCCACCTACAGATGCTGAGCTTGTGGGTTTCCCTTCTCCGTCCTCATTTCCTGCCAGCTGTCACAGTGGCTGCTCAGCCTGCAAGGCCATGGCTGGTCCTTGTTCCTGCCAGCTCTATGTGGCCTCTGGGTTGGTACTGCTAGGCCTTAGTGCAGATTCGCTGCTGCTAGTGTCTGCGGGTTTGTACCAGTTGCTGAACTGGGCAAGGGAAAGAGAAAATCTCCCACAGTTTATTTATTCACTGTATAGAATAAAGTCAAGTCAGTACTGACTCATAGTGACCCTATAAGTCAGAGTAGGAGTGCTCCTTAGAGGCAGTTTTACAGGAGTAGAAAGCCTCATCTTCCTTTACAGGAGTGAGAAGCCTCATCTTTCTCCTGAGAAGTGGCTGGTGGTTTCCAACTGCTGGCATTCAAATAGCAGCCCGGCGTGCAACCACCATGCCACCATGTCTCCTTATTCACTCTATAGTCAGTGAATATTTAGGTTGTTCACAATTTTTTACCACGACGGGAAAAGCTACTATAAACATCCCAGGGTCCTTTCTGAAATGGATAGTATGGAATGTTCAATGTTAATAGAGAATTCCAAATTGTTTACTAAATTGTGTGAACCTGTACTGGCAGTGTATAAGGATTCCTATTCCCCATTTCCATCAGAACTTAGTATTATTAGCCTTTTTAACATTCCCCAGTCTGGAGCACATGTATAGGTGTTCCATTGTGAGTTTAGTTTGCGTTTATCTTATTTCTAAGGAGGTCAACTGCACCATCTCTTTCTTCCTCCCTGGAACATCTTTGAATTCTTCAGATGGCATGATAGAGATTAGAAATGAATTCAGAAAGCATTTACTGTAGCCATGACCTTGAGGTAGAGGAGATGAGTCACTCAGAATCAAGGAGAATGATATGCTGGTATGGTCTATGGGCATTGATCTCATTTTCAAAAAGCCAATTTTTATACCTACTCCTCAATTGTCAACTATCGTTTTCCAACATTTCTCACTTATAACAATAGTAAAAGATCTACTTCCATCACCATAAAGCCAGGTAGAGACCCATGTATTGTGAGTCCCAAGTCCTTGATTCCTCCTATCTCACCCCTCTCCCCAGTCTTGGATGCAAATGAAGTTGAGAGAGGGAGGGAGGGAGAGCGATCTCAGACCCCAAGTCTGTGAGAAGGTGTCAGATGGGTGCCGAAAAGACATGCAGCGCTCACTTGGCTGCAGCTTCTTAGACCTGCTGGGTTTTCCATGTGTGTCCGGGCGCTGGACCCAGTGTCTAGAGGAGCAGTGGTCCAAATGGGTGGCCACACAGAACAAGAAAGAACTCCACATGGATCAGAATAGGGTGATTTCCCTCCTGGCCGCAGATCCTAACCCCATGGTTTCATAGGTCATAAGCTATCCTGCCTTTCCCAAATCTAAAAGTCCCAGCTTAGAGATGAGTGAGCTCCGGATGATGAGCAGCCCCACGGGGCTGACTCTCAAAATGACTACTGAAGACAGGGCCATTGGGTTGTCGACTGTCGGCGAATGACCTACTCTTTGGAACCTAGCCATGATGTTAGGTGAGGAGTAGATGGCTGTGAATACGAGTACATTCTTAATACTCTGATGTTGGTGTAGTTCTTTATCTTTTTAAATTATTCTGTCTGTTCAGCACTAATGTCATAAAATAGGTAGAGTAAGTGAAAACAGTCCCATGTTATAAAAGGTTTCCTGTGACTCAGGGCCCCTCAATATGTGTGTGTGTGTGTGTGTGTGTGTGTATGTGTGTGTGTGTGTGTGTGTACAGCTTCTCTGTGTTACTTTGTTTGTTCATTTACTTACTTATCAGGGGGTTACCAGCCACCACGTGACTTTAATCAACGATGTGACTGTGAGAAGGGGAACTAAAAGTTCGGGGTGCTGGAGACCTGGTATGGTAAGGAACAAAGGGCTGTTTTCACAGTGGAGATGGTTCCAGAAGCAGGTTCCAGTCGCAGAGGCCACCGAGGGTCTGGGTGTGCATTCTTCTGCTTGACCAGCCTCCTTGAGTGTGGTGCATAGAGGGAATGCAGTCCATCACACAGCCACTCGTGCCCGGAAAAAAAATGTATTTGTAAAGTTCCAACCTCACACACCACATTTCAGCTCCCCAATAAATCTTGGGTTCCTATTTTGAGATGCATTGACACGGCAGGGAAAATAGGCAGAACCAAGTCTCATTACAAAACTTATCTTTATTAAATGCCATAGCAACGAGTATGCCCTGCACCCGGAAAGAGGCATCAGAAATGTCTGACATCTTGGCGCCTCTATACTCGGTGCCTTTCAGCCATTGCTTGGCAGTTCTGGGCCTCGATTTCTCTACTTTAGAAAACCTGGAGGCTTTCTGGGACCATTGTAGTGCACACTTTCTCGTGCGCAATGATCCTAATGCTTTCAATCACTGAAAAGGGAAAACAAAGCGGATGGCTTTGTCAGTAAATCAATGGGGGGTGGTTCATGTCTTTGTAGCCTGCACGTGGACAGCTATCTCTCTAATGGCTTTTGGCCCTCTCTTACACCTCCAGGAAACCAGAAGTCATCCTTCCTTTGCATTGCACTATAGGCATCTGCTTGTCACTCAGTCTCAGCTCATCAGGATAACAGGAGCCTGGCAGACTAGCCAGGACAGTTTCCCTTGGGGTTTGTCGGCTGTCCCCTTGACCCACTGGGTGATACAGATAGTTAACATGCTTGACTGCCAACCGAAAGACTGGAACTTCAAGTCCACTGGAGGCACCTAGGTCAAAAAGCTTGCTGATCTACTTCTGAAAAATAAGCTATTGAAAACACTGTGGAGCACAGATCTGCTCCGACACACAGGAGGCAGCCATGAGTTGAAATCTCCCCCTCTCCTCACAAGGCATGTTTCGCCTGACACCCCACGCCCACCCCGGTTTCACTAAAGCTATCTGTGAACAGCACTGGGAGCCGCAGGCCCTGGGGGTAGCAACGGGGAAACACTGGGAAGTGAGTGGAAGCTTTCACCTTCCATCTGGAATCAAGGGCGTTCCTAATTAAAATGCTCACCCGATGCGCCTCATGCTGCACCCCCTGGCCAGGCATGGAGTTGTATAATCTGAGAGCTTGACCCAAACGCAGAACCCAGGAACCCATGAAGAAAGGTGGGGCTGGGAAGGCTCCACAGACTTCCCTGTCCCACTCGTTGGGGGATCCTGAGATGTGTTACTCATGCCATTTGCCCTAGGGCAATGACATTGGTGCTCTGGGTGAACTAAGAGAGGAGGGGTCTCATGCCCCATCCCATCCCCACCCTACCTTTCCTGATGACCACTAGGGCTCACAGTCATCCAATTTGGGCAGTAGTGGAAGAGCTGGAAGCCGAGTTTTCCCAGGCACACTGGATAGGCCCTTAAGCTTCAAGGGCCCTGCCCAGATGCTAGACTCGCCTTGGAGTAGAGACCAGCAGGGTTTCTTCAGGGACTCCTTTCCCTGAAGCGTCAAAGCAGTGGCGATTTGACTGTTTTTCTTCCAGGATTCGTGCCCGAGACAACAATGGGTCCTTTGCTCTCTGCCTGCTGCATGAGGGGAAGGTGCTGCACTATCGCATTGATAAAGACAAAACCGGGAAACTCTCCATCCCCGACGGGAAGAAGTTCGACACACTGTGGCAGGTATAAGTCAATCAGGTCAATACCTGGGGGAGTTGCGCGTCTGTTGGGGAGGCACCTGGGACACGTGAAGCTCATTCTCTCCAGGAATTAGAGCTGAAAGGTGCCTGGAGCCTGTTAGAGATGCAGTCTTGGCCGCTGCCTCATACCTGCTGAATCCGAATCTGCTCTTTCCACATCCCCACGGCGTTTATGAACACTGCTGTTTGAGAAGTACGCGTCTACTAGGGAATCATCACATTAGGTAGAAGTCTTCTCATCACCACGTACCACATGTCATGTCCGTGAGTCAGGAAGCCTGTGGCAAAGGCTTTCTAGTTTGGGCTTTAGGAGACTAGAAACATCCCCCACCCCCACCCTCCACCCAAGATACTCTCCCGGAACCCAGAATGACCTTTAGACAAATACATGCAAAATCAAAGCAAAAGTGGTCAGGGTAGGACATGAGGAGATGGCTAGTTAGACGGTTTTCTGATTTGTGAGAGGCTGAAGGAGACAGAAAATATCAGGTGCTGTAATTTGGCGTTGGCTTGAAGGGTTTTAGCAGGGCCCTTGACAGAAAATGTTTGCCAGTTCTTTCTCTGATGGTGCAGTGAATAGTGCCCACCGAGAGGTTGGTAATTAGAAATGCTTGTCACTTCTGTAAAGAGTTCCAGCCTTGGAAACTGTGTGAGGCAGTTCTACTCCGCCCTATCGGGTTGTTATGAGTTGTAATCAACTAGACGGTAGTGAGTTATGGTTTTCCCAAGTGAAAATCCCTATTAGTGAGCATGTTTTCCTGTGTGGGCACTTTTGACCTCGTGTCTATCCAGCCCTTGGTGACCCAGGCTGGAAGCTACACACACATGGGACTTTAGACTGTCCTGTTAAGATGCACAACATCCTCATAGGCCACACCAGAAGGATCCAATTTGGAAACCACTAAGTGAACTGGGCTTTACCTTAAACACACCTGCGGTTGATTAAAGGAATGGAAGTACTCCCTTAGGCTTAAGGCTGAAGTGCCCTAGTGTGAGAAGAAGCTGACAGATTTGGACATCATTGGACTTGGGTTCAGAAGTCTTGCTTTGCGGTTGCCTAATAAACAGCAACTCAAGACCACCATATATTTGCTATTTTCATACTCTCTTTGTCTTCTTATGACGTGCCTTGTCTAGCAGGCATAGTTGAATTTGTGAATGAGCCTTATTGAACGGTCCTCATTGTTGGCATAAACGGTGTCCAGTCATTTGAGTTTTTAATCTGTAGTAGTCAACCATCTGTGTATTTTGGTCTAAAAGGCTGTCCTATATATGTATACTTACCTTTTCTCAGCAGTATTTTAAATTCTATATAATTGGCTGAGTTAATGATACTATCAATAGAATTTCGATGTGCTCTATAAGTATGACTTATAATATACTCTAAAAAATGATAAGGATGTCTCTAAAGTGAACAAGGGACATGTATAAACCACAGATATAAGAGTGAATTTTTAGCTCACACTTAATCATATACTTATTCTAAGAACAATTCATTTTTAATGATGTGGCCCTACTCGATACTTGTCCTCATGAAGAGACACTGAAGATATGGGCACCATTGCAAAGTGTGGTGAAGAAACCAGATGGAGCCCAGCTATCAGAAAGAATAGCATCTGGGATCTTAAAGGCTTGTCTTCATGCAAGCAGCCATCTAAGTGAGGTGTCAGCTAGGTCCACATGGAAGAAGCACATCAGCCTTTGTGATCCAAGGACTGTAAATAATAACATCCAAGACCAGAGGAAAGAATGGTATTAGAGTTTAAATTCTGAGCACCCAGTTAGCAGAAAGGTTTTGCATGAATGACAGTGAAAGGCCAAAATCCAGAGGCTGGATCCCCATGTGGATTAAGCCTCAAGTGAATCCCCTCTGATTATTGACCAGGGAAGTAAACAGCTCTCCTACCAGAAAGGTGGATTGGAAGGTGAATTAATGCAGATGTCACTAGATTAAAATGTAGCACTATTGTTTGTTATCCCCTTTGACCCATTTAAAATGTGTTCAACTTTTTAATGTTTTCTACATTCTTTTCAGTTGAGGGTTTTCTCTGTTTTATTTTGTTATGGTTGTATTTTTGTATGTTTTTCTGTATATGAAATCCAGGCTAGGTAAATCTAGAGAGAGAGAGAGTAATGGGAAAATCTATAGAGATAGTAACTGAATTAAGAGTTTCTTAGGGTAACAGTAGGGACGTTGGGAGGAAATGGAGAAGTAATTATAATGAATACAAGAAAGAAGAAAATCTTCCAAAATTTATTGTGGTGTTGATTATACAACTCTTTAATGTGATTGACTATTGACTTGTATATTATATGAATTAAAAACTGTTTTAAATAAAGAAAATTCTTACTTGTATCTCCAGCCTCCCCAATAGTCCTTGAAGAACAGATTGTCTGAAAATAATTTAGGAAATATTTTAAGGAAAATAGAAATCCTCTAAGGTTTTAGAGCAGTGGTGCTCAACCGTCCCAATGCCGCGACCCTTTAATACAGTTCCTCATGGTGTGGTGACCCCCCACAACCATAAAATTATTTTCATTGCTACTTCATCACTGTAATTTTGTGACTGTTATGAATCGGACAACCCCTGTGAAAGGGTCATTCAACCTCCAAAGGGGTTGTGAGTTAGACAATTAAATAGGATTAGTCTAAAAATAAACCACTGTTTTAGTAACATGTTAGGGCCCTGAGGTTGAAGTGGGATAGGCTATTAGCAGAGTAGACTTCCAGAAAGGAATGCAATTTGTGGAGTCTTTTCCAACCAAGTTTGATGGCAGGAGGAGGGAGACTTGGACAGACTGGAATGTCTGACTGCCACCCTCCTCCAAAATGAAAACAAAACAATTTTCTTTGTTTGTTTGTTTAAGTTTGTCCTTGAATGACTTTTAAAGTCTGATTAGCAGTCAACTATAGATCAAGATTTATGTTTCCTACCTTTGTTATTTACTGCCCTCTTTTTCTTCTCTTTTAGCTAGTCGAACATTACTCTTATAAACCAGATGGTTTGTTAAGGGTACTTACAGTTCCCTGTCAAAAAATTGGCACAGATAATGGTGAGTTATTAATTTAGGAGATTTCATTTTTCAAATACTGATAATAACTAGCCTCGTTTTATTTTATTTTTAAATAATTTTACTGGGGGTTCTCCAGCTCTTCTCACAATCCATCCATCCATCCATCCATTGTGTCAAACACATTTATACATATGTTGCCATCAGCATTTTCAAAACATGTTCTTTCTACTTGAACCCTTGGTATCAGCTCATCCCCCCTGCACCCCCACCTTCCCACCCTCATGAAGCCTCCATAATTTATAAATTTTCCCCCCATGTCTTACACCTACCACTGTCACCCTTTACCCACTTTTCTGTTGTCAGTCCCCCTGGGAGGGGGTTATATGTAGATCATTGTGATTGGTTCCCCCTTTGTACCCACACCATACCCTTACCCTCCTGGTATCGCTACTCTCATTATTGGTCCTGAGGGCTTTATCTGTCCTGGATTCCCTGTGTTTCGAACTCTTTCTGTACCAGCATACATGCTCTGGTCTAGCTGGATTTATAAAGTAGAATTGGGGTCATGATAGTAGGGGTGGCAGGAGAGGAAGCATTAAAGAACTAGCGGAAAGTTGTATGTAATAACCAGCCTCATTGTAGATTTGAGCAATGGCAAATTCAAGTTGAATGAGGTCCTTTTATTTACTGGATGATTTTAAAAAGTGATCTCAGACTGCTTCCATTTTATATATTATTTATCAAAATGGCCTATAACTTTAATTTAAAAAAATCAATGACTCTTAACTGCTTGTGTGAAAACTTACTGCGATGATGATAATAAATATGTAGTGTATATTCTTCTCATGCAGTAATATTTCACAATTACATTGATCTGAAGGAAGGGAAGGGAGTAAGTGATTTACAAGCATACAAAAGTAATTGTCAATGTTCTTTCTATCCAGGAAATATTAATTTCAGGCCTCAGCCACCACTTCCAAGTCCCCACTCAATGGTAAGTGTTATCAGAGATGCCACTGGCAATGAAGCAATGCTTTAGCAGTGCAGTTAAAAGCATCTTCTAAGCAAACAAGCAGCAGTAGTGGTGGTGTTTCAATCCCACTTCAAAATATATCCCTTTATGAACTGAGCTGGCTAGTGACTGTTAGCTCTAATGGACGGAGCCCTGGCGTCAGAGTGGTTCCGAGTCGGGCTGCTAACCACATAGTCAGCAGGATAAAACCACCAGCTGCTCTGTGGGAGAAACCTTGCGTTGCCTACTCTCATAAAGAGGTGCGGTCCCAGAGACTCACTTGGGCATTTCTACCCTGTCCTACAGGGTCCCTGTGAGTCAGAAGCAACATGGTGGCAGTGAGTCTGGTTTCTTCAGTCAATGGTTATAATCATCTCATTTTCATTTTCAACTTGTTATAATGTCTTGGCTATGTAAAATGCTGCCAATGTTGAGTGGGAGAAATGGTTCATGCCAGTGTTGGTATATGGGAAGGTGTTCTATTAAGCCATCAATGGTAATGCATGAACCAATGACCATGTACGTGACCACCACAAAGCATGCCTTACCGAGGGTATGTGCTCCTGTCTTATGAGCAGATAAAATGAGCTGTTGTTATCAGAACACTTGACCTTTCTGCATGAATTGTTTTGAATAAAACTTAGCAGAGGAAAACTTGGAATGGGTGTAAATCAAGTGAGGTCTATGAGGGGATCACAGATAAGAGATCATCAACACAAGGATGGAGTCTGAAGGGGCTTGGCCAGAACCCAACTCCCTGCCCACAGGTGGAAAAAAAAATCATTGTACACGTCTTTGCTTGAGTTTGCCAGGTACGTGGCTAAAGCCCCCTATTAAAAAAGAAAGAAGATTCTGCCTTGCTTCTCTCTCCAGAACTGATTTATGAATTTAACTGATAGCAAGAGTTTATTTCAAGTTCCTTTTTCTTTTTTTTTTATGCAGTGTGGATTTTCCCTTGTGATACTTGTGAAAGTATCTGTCAATCCTTCCCTCATGGACTGAATTCTCTAGATCCTCATTATGGCTTTTTTTTGCCTGCTAACCCTTAAAAACAAAATTTTCAGCTTCTCCCAGGGACTGTAGATTACTCAATAGCAGAGCCTCCATTGAAATAGAGGAGGACTATATAGAGCATTTTTTTATCGGATGGGGGGACGTGAATTTATTAAAACACTAGAAAACTTTCGATGAACATTTAAGACATAGCACCTTTTTAGAGACACCATTTTATTTGGCTTGTTATCCAACTCACTTATATCACTATGTGTCCTAGGAAAGAGATCTGTTTTTCATTAAGATGGGTGAGGGCTCAGAGCTGTGAAGTCTTGAAAGAATGCCATGCTCAATGTTTAGCCATATGTCACCCAGGGACTTCAAAAAGTTGGCTATTTTGAAATAACTTTTTAAAAAATTGTAAAATATATACAGAAAAGATGCACATACGCTTGTTATGCAACTCAATGAATTTTCACAGATGCATTGTAACTAGAACCTGGATCAAGAAACAAAATTGAGCAGCCAGATTTATTTTTTAGTTTCTTTTTGGTGATTTCTTTTGAATCTGTGACTTGGCTATATAAAACAGACTAATTAAATGTAGCAGCTTTAATTTTGTAGCCTGTAGTAGAAAAATATGTTCCAAATATTTTTCATGACTTTTTTTGATGAAACGGTAAGATCTTGAAGCAAACAAAAATTTGAAAGTTACATGCAATCATCTTTATTGGTCAAATGGGCAGTGCTTACAATGTCATGTGTGTCAATTAGCATGTCATGTAAGGTGTCTTTTATTTGTTTTCTGAAATATTTACTCTTTTTCTTTGCCATTCTGGTTTCTAGACTTGGTCAGCGGGTGAAATATTCTCAAGACTCAAATCCTACTCCTTCCCAAAGCCTGGGCAAAGAAAGGTGCTAAAGCAACCCTTGCTTGCTAGTCCCTGACTGACTGGTAGGACTCACCCACACTCGGCTTGCATGCTTCCCATCTTGCCTTGCCCTGAATGTGTGACTGTTTGCTAAACTTCCTGGTGTCTAAGCCTAACACTTCTGTGCTCTGCTTGTACAGTGAACCCTCGTTTATCGGTTCTAGACCCTACCGTGATAAATGAAATTCCGCGAAGTAGGATTCCTTATTTGTAAATCAAATATTTTCGTAGTTAGAGCATAGAGGACATGAAAAAACACCCTTTAGTCACCATTACACTCGTATTACCCAATTTATTAAACGAAAAAGGGAAAATACAGTAAAACATTTTGGACGTTACAATTATCATTTATTATTTATTATATTATTTATGGCATCAAGCGTGTACAGTATGAGCCAATCAGTGGCAGTAATGACAGAGCATGCGCTGTTACGCAAAAACCGCAATAGAGTGAAGCCGCGGAAGTCGAAGCGCGAAGTGGCGAGGGTTCACTGTACACCTTTTTTGTCATATATAGCCCACTTGTTATAGGGATATCTGGGGGCGGGGAGGGGCTTGCCCCAGGTACATCCTAGGCTTTTCTTGTCAGGCCTCAGGCACTTTGCTGCCAAAGTTCATTAACCTTAACATGCTATTTCTGCTAAGATGTGAGCCATAATGTCATTTCCATAATGGGATTAGTAGGACCTAGTTCTCATATTAGAGCTTTTTTTTTTCAAAGAGGGAGGAGTTACTTTTGATTGCCAAAATCACGTTGCGATGCTGTGGTAATTAAGAGTACAAATTACATTTTGATAGAAGGGGTGCCAGGATTTTGTGATGTATATAAAACTGTTAGTACTTAAGCTGTTTTTTTTGGTAAATATCATGTGTCAAAATAATTTCATTATTACACTAGATTTATAATACAGAACATTACAGATCACACTTCTAAGAAAAACATAGGCTTGGAAGACTAGACAAACCCATGTAGTATACAGCGGTGGTAGTCTCAACAGTTAATTGATTTCTGAGTCCGACACAGAATTTAATTTTAAGGTAAAAATATTCAAAGTCCTGTTCTTAATGATTTCTATTTATAATGAACCATACCCCCTGTAAAATGTATGTATAAGAAATGTATGGTTTTCTTTTTTTTTTCTTTTTTACCTTTATCACCAGTAGGATAAAGCTAATTCTCTTAATGATATCTCTTCTCATTTTCAATGTATGCTTTTCCAAACATTTCAGCAATAACCATCATGCTCATGATCATGAAATCATGATCATCAGCTCACGAAATAGATTGCATAATTTACTTATTAGACATGCCGGAAACGTCATTGTTGCCATTGGGTGTCCACAAGTCAGTGCGAACTTCCTGTGAGCACACGAGGCTCAGTAGGGTTTTCTTGGTTACAAACCTTAGGGAAGCAAATGGTCAACTTCTTTGGTTTGGTAAGTTTGAACTACCAACCTTCCAATCAACAACCAAGTAGTAACTGTCATGCCACCAGGGCTCCTATTGTAGAAATAAAAAGTATAAGAGACCTTGGATTTTATTGAATCATCTCTTTCTAGGGGAAAAGTCAGACTCAAGGTTTTCCTACTCTTGTTGACTGTAGACTAGAGTAATAAGTTCAGTGTAGGGTTTGCAGGAAAACGTTCTGTCATTAAAGCCGAAAGGAACAACTAAGTCTGTTTTCGTGTCATGCTTCTAGTCGGCTCATGAAAAATCTCAGTGAGGAAACGTGGCATTGCTTGTGAAGAGTTGCAGTGAAGTGTTATATGACTTCTGATTTGGGGATCAGTTTATCAATATGGTACGCTTTTAATTGTTGATTTCACTTTTGCCCCACAAGTCACAGTTGTGTCAAGCCACCAGGGCCAGTTTGGTTATTGGAATTTCTGCCTTGAATAAGAATGTCTAGTAATGTAAGAGGACGTTCTCACCGCCCTAGCCCAGGATTGGTGTCATGGCATTTGCCACTTCTTTGTGAAGAAGATTCCTCTTAGTTACTGGGAAAGATGGAGCTATCAAAACGATTTGACCATAGCAAGATGCTGCCTCATAAAATGAGATGCTTCCAAATGTATTCTGACTCAGGATCTTTTCAATCAGGAATTTTTTCTTTTAAATTACAATTCAAACTCGGTTCCATTTAGTGACTGCACCGCCATGGTGATGGTGATGAGTTTTTAAAACTCATAAAACGCAAGTCTGGAGTCCAACACCATGCTTACATAACTTCGTGGATGAGCCTAGAGCCAAAGGGATAGTATATACAGAGTCTCCATCTCATCATGAGCCTATGAACAACTCAGCCGCCCAACTTCTGTCCTCCCTTCCTCCTCACAGACCGCATTTGTCAGTAGGTGGCCCAGGTGAATATGAGCCTGAGACGTGACAGTCTCAGGCTCCCATTTTTTCTAACATGCAATTTTACTGATGCTGCCCAGGCCTAATGCTAACTCACAGCTCCTCAAGCCCACGTGCACTTTCTGAGAGGAGTGAGTCTCACATAAAACAAGGCAGATGAAACATTCCACCTGTCTCTTAATTCTTTGGTTTTCAAGGACATCCTTTAATAGTCAACCAGAGAAGCAGAACCACCAATTAATCTGTTCATATAACACACATATACATTTACATGTATACATACACACACACAGAGGCACACATACAGATACCTGTACACACAAGGGGGTACCCCCCAGGGAACTGAAAACAGCTCTGCCAGGTGGAACTTTCGTAGAACAGATCTTGTTCTGGATGTCTGTCAACTTCCCAAATGGACAGAAATGTCGACTCGTAGTGCATTTGGAGTTTGTTCCACTAGGTCAGACTGTTAATCAAGCTTTCTATTTAGAGGTTCTGAAGAGATTGCATAACAGTGTGCAACAACAACAAAAAAGACCTGATTTGTGGCAGACAGGGGCCTGGTTTTGCCACCATGACAGTGCTCCTACTCCCTCAGCCATCTCAGGGCACCAGGTGTGGGCAAAACCCAGCGTACCTCTCTTGTCCCACGCACCTTACTCACCTGACCTCCCTGTGGTACTGTTCTACTCTGTCATGTGGAGCCACTATGAATTAGAAATCAGCTGGGCAGCATGCAGCGACAACATAGACCAGCCTAGCAAAATCCATACATCAAAAAAGCACCACTCCAAGGAAACAATGCAATCGTTTTAGGAGACAGCAACCCTCTCCTTCTCCCACTTCCCCATCATTTCCCCAAGTAGGCTCAGGTCTGATGTTGACAGTTTCCTCACGGTGACTAGAGAAATATTTAGAACATGAATTCTACCAGGAGAACATTCTAAACGAACTTGAAAAAAATAAGTAAATATGATTACACAAAAATAAAGAAAGACTCTGGTGAGTCTCCTCCGAACATAGACCAGGGATGTGAATGTTAAAATTTATCACTTAATCATATGATCTCCTTTTTGACCTATTTTAAAGTTGTTCTAATATTTAGTATTTTCTGCTTTCTTTTTGATTGAGGTTTCTCCATTTGATTTTTTTGTTTATCTTTTTTAGCAGTTTTATTGGCACATAATTTGCATATCATACAATTCAATAGTTCAGTCATTTAATCATACCAAGAAGAATTGTACAATCATCACCACATCCATTTTAGAGGACCCCCCCCCACCCCGCCATGGTTTAATTGCCTTTGAAATGACTTGTGCAATCACAATCCATTCTAGTGCTCCCTCCCTGTGCCCCCTCCCTGCCTTCATTATTTACTCCCGCTGTTTGCCCTATATCCCTTTATATCAGTTATTATCATTATGCATCCATTTCTCCTGTATTGTTTTTAGCTTTCTTGTTTCTTTGTTTTGGATTTTTGTATGTATTTTGATATATAAAATTCAGATGGGTGAATCTATAGAGACAGTAGTGGATTGATGGCTTTTTGGAGGTACGGCAGGGAAGGTTGTGGGGAAACGGAACTAAAGACAAGGAGTACAAGAGTATAAGAAAGAAGATAATGTTCTAAAATTGATTAGAATAATTAATGATTGTACAATTCTTCTTGATATGATAGAACAATTGAATTGTTTGATATGTGGATTATGTCCCAATAAAACTTTTTTTTTAATTAAGAAATATATGTATTAAAAGGCATAACATTAGCCAAAAGAACTAACAAGCTTGAAATAAGTATTAAGAAATATATGTATTAAAAGGCATAACATTAGCCAAAAGAACTAACAAGCTTGAAATAAGTTATAATAACATATGTGGATGATATCTTTAACATATAAAAAGAATAAATCAATCAATAATAAAACCCAATATAAAAGAACAGTCTAATACAATAATGAGCAGAGAATATAAGTATATGAAAATGTGTTGAACTTCATAATAGTGATTGAACTCTGTAATTATATATGTATTCTCTCAATAATAATAAAAAATAATAGCACAAGTTACAACTGTGGTACACTATTATTCCATCTGTGAAACTGATCCTAAAGAAAAATTTGGTAACACAATGTATAGCAGGGTATCGTGAATAAAACTTTCACATTTCATTCAAGAAGTGTGAAATGATGCAACCTCTAAGCAATTTTATAACATCAAGATTAAAAGTACACATAATTTCTCAACACTCCACTCTTAATTTCTATGTAATGATTATATACATATTCTGTGGATTCATGTATGAAGAGTCTTCAAAAGTTTTGTGGGAAAATTCTATTCTCTTTCCATTCCATTTTCCATGAGCTTTTAAAAACTGCTCTATAAATATATATACTTATTCCAACATTGTTTAATTGACAAAGTCTAGAAATAGTTGCAATGTCTCTCAGTAGGAAATGGATGAATTACATTGCAGTAAAATTCATACTATGAAAGGAAGCTGAAATATAGAATTGTTTCCAAGGTAAAATAATCTAATTGCAAGAGGCAGAATCATGCATATATAGCTAACATAGTATAGACTCTCGTGGTGCTGTAGGGTAAATGTTGGGCTGTTAACTGTGAGCTTGGTGGTTCAACCCTATCCGCCCTTTCTCAGGCATCACAATTTATGCTGTTGTTGCTAGGTGCCTCCAGTCTATTCTCACTCGTAGTGATCCTGTGAGCAACAGAATGAAACAGTGCCCGGTGCTCACAATTGTTCTTATATTTGAGCTCTTGGATACAGCCAGAGTATCAGTCCGTCTTGTCGCAGGTCTTCGCCTTTTCACTGCCCGCTACATCGCAATTTATACTTGAGCATAATTTATTGTTATTGTTATTTTTAGCGTGTTATCACCGGAATTTCTAAAGCTTAAAGTAAAAATCACAAATTGCTGTTCTAGAAGTTAGACTCCTCCAATGGCTAGTGCCACCTAGTGGTGCCTGCAAGTTAACCTTTTTTTTTCTTGAGTATCAGCAAATACAGTATGAAAGGGAAGTGTTGTAAATGCAAAAAGATATTGTTGGTTAGAGTAGAATTAATAATAAAACACAAAGCAGAAAGAACAATGACAAGTAGTAATAATGTGGACCAACACAGTCTATTTTATTTAAATTTCGTTAATTTTAAGTAATAATATAGTTTATGTAATAATTAGTAATGGTTTTATAATTTATCACTGTACCTTAATTCTAATTCTTTGCAAGTTACTCAGATGCTTTCTTTCAACTGAAAACTCACTTTCAGATTATTGTATTCTTCTATTAAATGGTGTATACAATGGGGCAAATTAAATGTACATTTTATCCCCTGTCATTATCAAAGAATAACCACAGCTCTTTTAATGGATAGGATTGAAAACCACGTATTTCTTCCACAGAGCATTCTCCCCACTTCCACCCTATACATTGTTCCACTTCCCCAAAAAGGATGGGTGTCTTCCAAAAAAACTGGAGAGAAATCATTTCAAAATAGAAAGCTCTTAGTGATGTAACGAGTAGACTTTTCTCCAATTTTTTTTCATGCTGCAAATGGATGTTAATTAAAATAATAGGGAAGGTTGCTGTGAATAATGGCCCACAATACTTTGTTTGATAGATAGAACCTCATTGTCTACTTTGGGATTAAGGAAGAATTGTCTTCCATCACATAAGCCAAAAGCCATCACATAAGCCAAAAGAGCATCCTCAACCTCATAGGATACCATGATTATTATTATTAGCACCAGTAGCCTCATAATTAGGGCCTTGGAATGATATCAGCCAGTCGTCTTTGAAACCTTTAAATCCCTGGAATATGCTGCCCTCTTGGGATCTACCCAAATGTTGCTAGACCTCGACCAAACATAAGAATTTAAGCAGAAACTAGAAAGCATGGAATGTTTTGAAGTTGAGGAGTTAGTAGAATGAGCAGGCAGACATTTCAATTTCACTTGACAGCAACTTCCATATTATATCAAATAGAGGAACAGTTAAAAGAATAGAATGGACCCAAGGAGAAAATAAAAATCCACATCTTTTGGGGTGTAGACATAGGCTTGGAGAAGGCATATAAATGGGAAGAGATTTCTCTAAACAAGTAGAGTTGACTCTCTAATTATGCCTTCTGAGACACTTGTAGAGCTCCTTGAATTGGAGTAGAATGAATTTTAGTAAATCCTCTCGGTGTCCAAGCAGTTGCCTGAAAAATTAGATAAGCTTTGATATTCTTCTGTCTTTATTCCTCATTCTTTCCTTTGCCTCCCTTGCACGAATGCAAACATGATTATTTGAAGATTAAAACACTTACACAGATTAGCTCAATAGTGTGTTGATGAAGAAAAATAACCTATTATTGTTTTGTGTGCTTCAGCCATCCCCATCCCATGGGAACCGGCCAGAAAGTTCTGTGTTTAATCCTTATGAGCCAGACCGAGGACCGTGGACCACTGAACGAGGTGAGAAAACCACTTTAATTACTTGGCATCCACAGAAAGGACACACTTTCCATGGTAACATATAGTTGTAGCACTAACGAGGTAGTTCACACCACTGTCTGTCATTCAAGTATAAAAATGGCTAGTACTAGCAACCCTATTGTCTAAAAGCAGTAGCAGAAATCATGTATCTATGGACCATGGTGTTCCATTGAGTGAAATGGTATGTTACCAGATCCCTCACTTTGAATGTGGCATTGGATAAAACACAACAATTATGACTGTTGTTTCAGAGTATCTCTCATTATGTGTAAATCTGATTGCTACTGGCACTGGAACAGAAGGGGCAGAGGCAGTAGTGGAACTCTTGGGTTGGTGGGACATTTCTCCATCTTTAGTCTCAAGACCTCTCTGATCTCTCCATCTTGGCTGTTCTGACCTTCCTTACACCTTGGCGGCCTTGGGACATTAGATGCAGAATATGTCATCCGGAGGCTTCAAAGCAAATTTTTCCGGAAAAGAGTCAGGAGTTTCAGAGTATTTTATAACCTCACTTTGGAAATCCTCTATGTCACGTCTGATATAATGGCTAAAAACATTATAAAAGGCACCAGGGGGAAGTGAATAGATGTCATCTCTTAACAAGTGGCATGTCAGAGAGAAATTTCAGACATAGGTTAAAACCACAATGAGAGCATTAAGAGAGCTCAATGTAACGTGCCTGCCTTTGGTGTGAATGACCCCTCTTGATGGCTCATAGAAAGAGGAATATGCCATATTTTACTGCAAGAATAGAAGTCAAGTAGGGCGGAGTCATCAGCACTCCTTTGCTCCTGATCTACTAAATTAGAAGAGGCACTGCCTTGTGTTTCATAGGGTCCATCCTGCCCCCGGTGCAGTGTGGCCCTAGGAAGAGAGGTGGGACAAAGGATCCAGCCCAAAGATTGTGTGTCTCTTGAATACAATGCAGGTCTCCAGAGAGAAGCCTTGCCCATGGACACTGAAGTGTATGAAAGCCCCTATGCAGACCCTGAGGAAATCAGGCCCAAAGAGGTCTATCTGGATCGAAAGCTGTTGACCCTGGAAGACAAAGAGCTTGGCTCTGGAAACTTTGGAACTGTGAAAAAGGGTTATTACAAAATGAAGAAGTAAGTCCTTTTTATATCATCATCATACCATTTTCTGTATCATAAAAGTGTATGTTACTTTGCTAAGTATACATGTATCAAACTCACTACCAATGGGTTGATTCTAACTCATAGTGGCAATATATAGGGTTTTTGAGACTGAATATTCATAGACGCTGATAACCTCGTCTTTCTCCCACAGAGTGACTGGTGGGGTTTGAACTGCCAACCTTGTGGTTGGCAACCCAATGCCAAACCCACAGCATCACAACTGCAGAGTGCTCATTTAATAATAATATCATACAATTTGACTTCCCAAAACATCCACTACTACGGAATTGATTCTGACTCATAACAAATCCTACAGGGAAAATAGAGCTTCTCCTGTTGGTTTTCAAGGCTGTAAACCTTTATGCGAGAGAAAGCCTCATCTTTAACCTAGCAAGTTAACTCCTTAAAAAATTATTTTGAAATGTCACTTTGGTTACTCCTGGAATAATTGTAATAAATGCATCTATTAAGCATACAAACTAACTTTATTAGTTTAAAGGTAATATATATATATATATATGCTTTATAGATGACCTTGTCTATTTCTTGTTTTACTATGGGTTTGTTCAAGTTTATTTTAACTTCATATTTGATGAATAGTTTTTCTGAATGTAGAATTCTTGCTTGAAAGTTGTTGTTTGTTTGTTTTTTTCAAAGTTTGCTACATGTTGCTCCATTTTCTTCTTTCCTTCATGCTTTCTGTGGAGGGGTCTGAGCTTATTCTTACCTCGTTACCTTTGTAGGTGACTGCTTTTTCCTCTCTGGTTGCTCTCCAGATTCTCTCTCTTCCCTTGAAGTTGGATAATTTGACTATTATATGTCTTGATATATTTTTTCTAGGGTCTAACCTATTTGGTACTCTCTGCTTCCTGAATGGTTATCATCTCCTCCTTTGTGATATTGGGGAAATTTCCCTCCATGGATTTTGTTATTTTATCTGTAGCCTTGTCTGTTTCTTCCTGTTCAGGTATTCCGATGAGATCTATATCTTTTCTCTTCATCAGCAGGCTTTCTTCAGATTCCTTTGGGTTTTTATGTGATTCTTTCTCATGTTTGCTGAAGTCTGCATGGTTGTCTTTGAGTTCACTAATTCAATTTTCCCTTTCTTCAATTCTATTGCTCAAGTCCTGTACCATGTTATTTGTTTCTGTTATTTATTTCTGTTTCAATTTTTAGTTTTGGGGTTCATTTGGGGTGTGAAGTTTTTAGTATCTCAGTTTCTTCCTTTGTTTTCGGGATTGCTCCCCAGATCTCTTGACAGTCTTAAACATCTTTCTTCTGTATTCTCTTTCTGGTAGTTCCAGGGCTTCTTTTTCTGTGCATTCCATTGGGTTTGGGTAATCTTCAATTGTTGACTTTCATCTTAATTTTCTGTGGTTACTACTGTTGGCTATTTGCATGACATATGTACATGGTGTGTAGTGTTTTGGGTTACGTATGTTTGGGGGGGGTGTAGCTCTTTGTGTTAGAAGAGGAAGATAAGATAGGGGCTGGAAATTGTATTGTGTGGTAATTAGGAAGAAATGATAAAGTGGATAGGTAGCACAAATAGGGCATAGTATCATGAGAGTAGGGCATAAGTGATGGTATAAATAATAAGTGGTCTTTTGGTTATAGTAATTTTTTATAAATTGGAAAGGAGGATTTTAAGAGGTGTGCTAGTACTTATGAGTTTATGTGAAACTGTGTCTTGCTGAGAAGGCTGAAGTGGGGTATTGAGGTAATAGTGGGTGAGGTAGGTAGAAAGTATATCTATTATTCTAGCAGAGTCACTTATCAACCTACTATATAATATAGGGAGAGAGCCCAGAAGACCAATGTTATTATATTTATAACAAAGGGCTCTTGGTTTGGTAACCCTTACCTGCTCTAAGGGAGCTGATCTTTTGGTGTGGGAACTGCACTCGTATAGTAGGGTCACACCAGGAAAAAGTGGAGAGGTATGGAGATAATGCACCAGCCATGGGATCTCCCCTCCACACAGGGACTCCAAGGGGGTAAATAGGCAGTAGGAATGGAGGCATGAGGTGCATGGGGCTTCTAATAAGGGGGAGGTTTAGAGGAGGTAAGTCCCAGCTTGTGGAGAGAGACCCACCTAGACTCACTGGTCTACTGAATTCTGGGTTTAACAGGGCAAGGTGTGTATGGGGGTGGGGGATAGGGTGCTGGAGTTTTGTGTGTTCTTTTACCAAAAAAAAAAAAAAAACAATCTTGAAGCACCCAGAATTCAGGTTGCACATCTAATTTTCCTGGTGGTGGGTCTCTATCTGTTAGATTCTGCAGAGACTGGCATATAGAAGAAGTTTGATAAAAGATTCTATCTGGCAGCCATGTTTTCCAGACTCCTTCCCAGTTGTGTTAGGTAGTGCCATATCACTTTCCACAGTGTTTAAAACATGTGGTCTTACAAGTTCTATCATGCTATCTCCAACTTCATTTCTGTCATCAACGCTATATATTTCAACTACTGATCCTTCCTTTTTGTTACCAGCTGAGATAGTTTATTGTGCCAACCTGGCCGATAAACACATGTGGAATTAATTAAAGGGCCAAGGGATAAATGGCTCGGTGAGCCTCGCCTTTCTAGTTCTCGGGTCTCTTGCTTTGTGTGGGTCGGACCAGGCTGCAGCTGCCTTAGCAATTTCCCTGCTTTAGCTGGCAAGGCTCACTTCCTGCAAGACATCCCTGAGGAGAAGCCGTATGGACCTATCTTGATGCAGCCCTGGGTGCTGGAGCAGCCATGTGGAGACTCCTGCCAGTGCTGAGATGCTTACACATTCACTGATTTGGCTTTCCTCCTGCAGTCGGCATCATTGTGTGTGTTTTGTGAGATGGAGAAGAATTTTGTGGATTGGTGTTGGACATAGGGGTTAATGTTGGACTTTTGGGTTTGGGCAGCACTGGGTTGGGATGTTTTCTTGATGTGCACTTAACCTTTATATAAAACTCTCTTATACATGAGTTTCTGTGATTTGTTTCTCTAAAATACCCATACTAACACACCAGCTTTTGTATTCCAATCTCTAGTAATCATCAATGTGTTTTGATTGCATGTTTGATTAATATCAGACTGAGGAAGCTGGTAGAATTCTTCACTTTCTCCCTCACTGGCTTTTGTGGTTAGTGTCTATTTTTTTAAAAACTTTGAATAATAGTTGTATTGACTTCCTTGTAGGCTTTTAGATATTACTCTGTCATATTTTACTGTGAGCTAGATCTTGAAATGTTCTTTTTGATGATGAATGTAATGCCATTCTTGAATTTGTCATTCCTGGCATAGTAAAGCAGAGGATTGGCCAGTTAACAATGGCCAATTCTGGTCCATTTCAGCTCAGAGTTCCTATTTATCTATATGCTTTCCTTTTTAAAAAAAAAAATCAGCTTCCAACTTTTCCAGATCCATTCCATACTTTATATATTTCATGTTCTGATTATTAATGCATGTTTTAATCTGTTTCTTTTCTTTTTGTCATACTCCTTTGCAAATGAAGCCCCCAAAGCTTTGCTTGGTCCATATCACTCTGATTGACTTTATTTTGAGGAGGCAGCTCTTCTTCAGTCACATTTTGAGTGCCTTCCCATCTGTGAGGCTCATCTGCTAGTACCATATCTAACAAAGTTCTACTGCTAGTCATTAGTTCTTCAGTGGCTACTCCTTCAGAAATGTACTGCCTCTTCTCTCTTCTGCTGAAACCTGTTCACCATAGGTGACCCTATTGTTGTTTCAAATATTGGTGTCTTGGCTTCCATCATCAAAGCAACATGCAAAACACTATATATAGTAGGACAAACTGACAGATGAGAGGGGTGACTGACCTACATATGCATATTTATGTGCCCTATTCTGTATGCATATTGTATTTATAATGTTATTTTTCCCTTTTATCTATTTTGTTGGATAGTTCCTTTACTGTCCTCCATCTGTGGGAAAGTACATCTTACATCAACAATGATATCCCTTGTTCCATGTCCTCTTGGGAATCTGGCTTGAATTTCTGGCAACTCCCTGTCAATGTACTTCTGCAGCTGTTGTTGAATAATCTACCGCAAATTTAACTCGCACGTGATACTAATAATAGAACTGATGCATTTAAATTATGGTTCTGGCAAAGAATATTGAAAGTCCCATGGACTGCCAAAAAAAAAACCAAACAGATTTTTCTTGGGACAGTACAACCACAATGCTCCTTAGAAATAAGAATGGCAAAACGTCATCTCATGTGCATTGGACATATTGCCAGGAAAGCACAATTCCTGGCAAAGGACATCATGCTTGGTAAAGAAGAAGGGCAGCAAAAAGGAGAAAGATACTTGCTGGGATGGATGGACACAATGGATCCAACACTGGGATCAAACATAACAATTGTGAGGCTAGCACAAGACAAGGCAATGTTTTGTTCTGTTGTACATAGGGTTGCTATGAATCAGAATTGATTTGACAGTACCTAACAACAATAGCTATGGGGAATATGTCACAGAGGGACTCTAGTTTTTAAAACTATGCATAAATAAGTTCCATTTATTTATTTATGCCTACCATATTGGAATCTTTTTAAGAATTCAAGCCAAATTATGTGATGGTTTATTAGAAAAATAATTTAACTTATTGAATGCTTTTTAGTTTTGCATGTGAGACTTCATTTCCAATATATAATAAATTAATTTAATATTCATATAAGACATTGGTGGGTCATTGTTAGAATTTTCACCTCTCACGTGGGAGAACTAGGTTATATTCCTGGCCTCTGTACATGTACAGCCATCACCTGTTAATGGAGGCTTGTGTGTGTTGCTATGATGCTGAAGAGGTTTCATTTGGAGCTTCCATATTATGATGGACTAGGAAGAATGGCCTGGTTATCCGCTCTGAATATGATCCACTGGAAACTCTATAGGTCACCACAATGAAATCTGCAACTGATCACGGGTATGATAAAGGGCCCGACCGCATTTTGTTCCATTGTGAATGGAGTCACCATGAGTCGGGATAACATGATGACAGCTAACAGCAGTGCGTTTGTCTACATTTATGCATAATCTATGATAAAAAACTGTAAGATGTTATAGAAATCTATGCATGTCATAGCTTATAAGGTTTGTTTGAAAGTTAATTGAATATTCTAACAGTCTAAGTGTTCTACTTGTTTGGGACATTATTCAACAGGACACTCATATTAGTTCTAAGTAATTTAAGTAAAAATAAGAGAACACAGTTTGAAAGTTATTCAATTATTACATGGCTTCTTCACCCATTCTTGGTGTGTTGAAAGATATTTATTTTTAAATCTTTTTTTGGGGGCCTCATACAACTCTTATCACAATCCATATGTACATCAATTGTGTAAAGCACATTTGTACATTTGTTGTCCTCATCATTCTCAAACATTGCTCCTCATTTTCCCCCCTCCCTCTCCGCTCCCCACTCTCTCATGAACCTTGATAATTTATAAATTATTATTTCGTCATATCTTACACTGTTCGTCTTCTCCCTTCACCCACTTTTCTGTTGTCCATCCCCCAGGGAGGAGGTTATATGTAGATCCCTGTAATCAGTTCCCCCTTTCCACCCCACCCTCCCAGTATCTCCACTCTTGGCACTGGTCCTGAAGGGATCATCCACCCTGGATTCCCTGTGTTTCTAGTTCCTATCTGTGTCAGTGTACATCCTCTGGTCTAGCTGGATTTGTAAGGTAGAATTGGGATCATGATAGTGGTGGGGAGGGAGCATTTAGGAACTAGAGGAAAGTTGGATGTTTCATCATTGCTACACTGCACCCTGACCGGCTCTTCTCTTCCCCGAGACTCTTCTGTAAGGGGATGCCCAGGTGCCTACAGATGGGTCTCGAGTCCCACTCTGCACTCCCCCTCATTCACAATGATATGATTTTTTATTCTTTGATGCCTGATACCTGAACCCTTCGACACCTCATGGTCACACAGGCTAGTGTGCCTCTTCCATGTGGGCTTTGTTGTTTCTGAGCTAGATTTACCTCCAAGCCTTTAAGACCCCAGATGCTATCTCTTTTGATAGCCGGGCACCATCAGCTTTCTTCACCACATTTGCTTAGGCACCCGCTTTGTCTTCAGTGATCGTATCGGGGAGGTGAGCACACAATTATATGATTTTTTTTTTGTTCTTTGATGAAAGATATTTCTATGAAACCATTTCTGCGTAGGAATTATATCTCAGAGAAATTGATCGCATACAAATGACTCAAATTAAAATGTCTTTTATGTTACGGTTTCTTTTACAGAGTTACAAAAACAGTTGCTGTGAAAATACTAAAGAATGAAGCCAATGACCCTGCTCTCAAGGATGAATTGTTATTAGAAGCCAATGTCATGCAGCAGCTCGATAACCCTTACATTGTGCGTATGATTGGAATCTGTGAGGCCGAGTCCTGGATGCTGGTGATGGAGATGGCAGAGCTCGGGCCTCTTAATAAATACTTGCAGCAAAACAGGTATCTTTCCTCGTTCTGCTCCCTAAGGCACAGAAGCCAGTAGTGTGAGCAGCAGAGCCCCTCTGTTTCCTTTCTCTGTTCCCCACTTCTTCTCAGGGTTGATCAGCACTCATCAATCTGTGAGGAGAGCACAAAGAGCTGCCCCTTTGGATCAATTCTGCTTTGTTCTTCTTCAGAGAATAACCAATAATTTTATCTTCATCGTCTTACTCATTTTGTGGCCAATGATGAATCCAGCTTCATAATATCTGCTATTCACAGAGGCCAAATATCTTTTTTTTTTTCTGTGTGGAAGTATGTTCGACAAATTATCTGTATTTAAGCCACTTTTACATGTATAATTCAGTGATATTAATATATTCACCATGTTGTAAAATCATCACCAACATCTGTTTCCAAATGTTTTCATCACCTTCAAGAAAAGCTCAGGGCTCCCTAAGCAGTGACTCGTACTTTCCCTCCCCTGCCTGTCCCTGGTAAGCACCAGTAAACCTTTCTGCATTCTCTTGGTCTAGATATTTATTATATGGGTGATCTCAGAGAATTTTCCTTTTGTGTCTGACTCATTTCACTCAGCACAATCTTTTCCTGGCTAACCACTGTCATAGCATGCATCAGAACTTCATTCTTTTTGTGGTTAAATAGAACACACTCTCTTAAAGAAACATTTGACTCAGAGGTAACAGTTTTACACATCTGATTGACAGTCGGACCGGTAAGCTTCCATTAGCAATTGCTTCTGAAAATATTAGTTCACTCTTAAAATAATCATGTTGTGCTGAAGTAAAATTATTAGTGGGATGGAGGAAATCACATAGAGTAAAACAGAATAATAGTCACGATTTGACCAACTGGGTGGGCTCTGGGTCAGACTACTAAAGGTTAGCAATTTAATCCTACTCAGCAGAGCTGCAGAAGGAAAGCCCGGTAATGCGCGTCATAAAACATTGCCATCAAGAAGATCCTGTGGAGCAGTTCTACCCTGTAGTAAATGAACTCTTTCTATTTGCTGCCTTGTGCTTCTACTTCATTCTGACTGCATCTTTATCATCTCCATAAGAGGAACAGATTGTTAGTCCCAGCTCAGAGATAAACTGAGACACAAGGTGTATTTAATTGTTGAATGTGGGTTCAATGATATGTACAGAAGCCTAATTTTCTATAAGTCATTATATAGCTTTTCAGGAAATTCCAAACACACCATGAAAATCTTGCCCATTGGACAAGAAAAGAATAGCGTTGAACAGCTACATGTTAACAAGACCATTTATCATAACTTGTGACATTTTTGTTTAGGAAAATTGGAAATTAGTGAATTCATCTTCTGTGTGAAAGAGAAAATGTGGCTCACTGTACTTAAATAAACCATGGTCCACTACTACTAATTACACATTTGTGAGTTTCAGGCACGTCAAAGATAAGAACATAATAGAGCTGGTCCATCAGGTTTCTATGGGAATGAAATATTTGGAAGAGTGCAATTTTGTTCACAGAGATCTAGCTGCAAGGAATGTGTTACTGGTTACTCAGCATTATGCCAAAATCAGTGATTTTGGACTTTCCAAAGCACTGCGTGCTGATGAAAATTACTACAAGGTAGGAACAACTTTGTAAAATTACCTAAGAACATTGTAAATTAATAACAATTATAAATGTGTTTCATCTTTATGTGAGCTTCAGGATGTGACTTTACCACTTAAAAAAGTATTTAAAAATTATTGATTATAAAAGTTGTATTTAGCTTTGATCTTATTCTTTTTAAATGGGAATAGTTTAATATGTATATAACACTCTTTGAGTAGTAATTGATGACTCATTAAAAATGTAAAGAATAAGATAACTGAAATTTCTTCATTAAGTTACATTGGAACAGGCAAGGTAAACAGGTTTCATTCCAGGAGGATTTTCCAGAGCACTTATCACACCATTCTGCATCATGGGTCTCTAGAGGTTTTTGGTGTGTTGCATTTTTCAAAGCTAATTCACCCATGAAATCCTTTTCTTTTTCTTTTTTCCACTTGGGCAAAATGTATTTGAATGCTTGGAAATACACTAATCAAATTGTTATACTACTGCCATTTCTTTTAATAAATGCTAAATATAAAACCCTGGCAAATGTAAATGCAGTACTCTCACATAACCTTTTAGCTGTACACTAAGCTTTTGTAAAGCAACAGTTGTCTAATAAAATGCAAGGTGACGATAATTTAGCAGTGAACTTTCACACCTTTCAGGACATAATTAGCAACAAGTTATTCATTTAAAACACACACATATCTGATGTCACGATTTCCATGTGTGTTAAAACTTCACGACAAAAAAACAGTTAAGGCATCTTTCTTCCAAATATTGAATTTTTAACAATAAAACATTTTCCTAATGTTCCTCAACAGTTTTCTTTATTTGAGTTATTTTTCCCTTTGAATGATTGACAGTATCAGTTTTTGTCAATGTAGAATATCATATCACAGTCCAGGATATCGAAGGTGTATGTAACCATGGAGGTCTGTATTACCTTTAGAAGAGGAGGGACTTTTTCTTTAAGTTTCCTCAAGATTTCAATGATCATAAATCAATTCATTTATATACACACCCGTTTCTTAGCACAATAATCGTGGTTCTCTCCCTCTGTCCACTTTCCTGTTGCTTTTAGGGGCTGCGGAGTTGGTTCCACTTGTACCAATCCTATGTACAACCAAGCAAAACACTGCCTGGTCCTGTGCCTCCTCACAGTTGTTCTTACGTTTGAGCCCATTGTTGCAGCCGCTGTGTCAGTCCATCTAGCCAAAGGGCTTCCTGGTTTTCACTGCCCCTCCACTTTACCAAGCATGATGCCCTTCTGTAGGAAAGAGTCTCTCCTGTAACATGTCCAAAGTACGTGAGACAAAGTCTTGCCAAAGTTACCTCTAAGGAGATTTCTGGTACTTCTTCCAAGACAGATCTGTTTGTTCTTTTGGCAGTCCATGGTACCATCAGTATTCTTCACAAGCAGCTTAGTTCAAATACATCAATTTTTTTTGGTCTTCCGTATTCAATATCCACCTTTCACATGTGTATGAAGTGGTTGAAAATGCTATGTCTTGAGTCAGGCCTACCTTAATCCTCCAAGTAGAAACCTTGCTTTTCAATGCTTTAAAGAGATCTGGTGAACAGATATACTTAATGCAATGCATTGTTTGACCTATTGATTACTGCTTCTAGGATAATTGATTGTAGATTCTATGGAAAATTTTTAGAGCCAATTAAACTATGAAAACTAAGTTAATTGATTAATTTATTTTTTATCCGGACTCTGTGGATTATTTTCTGGTAGATGTTTTTCCTCCCCATCCCTGTTCTCATTCTGTCCTTGGCCTCCTTGTAGATAGCAAAGTCTTCTTTTCTTCGTTTAAAACCACACTTACTTTTCTTCAATTGTCTTTAAAATAATGGTGCTATTAAATATTTAGCTTTAAGATTGGCTAACTTTACTAAGTATCATGTTCTACAGTTTTGTCCGTGTCTTTCGGTGTTAGAGTTGTCATTGTTTTTGTTTTTCTTCTTTTTTTAAAAATTGTTTAATTAGGGGCTCATACAACTTTGATCACAATCCATACACACATCAATTGTGCAAAGCACATTTGTACATTCATTGCCCTCATCATTCTCAAAACATTTGCTCTCCACTTAAGCCCCGGACATCAGGTCCTCATTTTTTCACCTCCCTCCCCGCTCCCCTCTCCCTCATGAGCCCTTGATCATTTATAAATTATTATTTTGTCATATCTTGCCCTGTC